TCGATCGCTGGTGCAACGTTCGATTCGCTGGCGCAACGCTCGGATCCAGCGATTCGCTAGCGAATCGCTCGATTCGCAAACTATGACATCGGCCTAAGGTTGGTCAAGTCCCAAGGTCGTACAGAGAAAAAAGGGGAAGTCGTGAAATACACAGGAAATACGAGTCTTTTGCTTTCGACTTAGAGAAGTAACGCGACCTCTGCACCTGCATACTTAGCACTTCTATCCACAGCGAAGGCTCACTAGTGGGTCTGAACCCGAACATTAACTTTAAGGTCGAAGGTCGAAGTAGGGAAAACTTACCTTGTGTGGCGGACCCCATAAGGGTGCGGATCGACACACAATTCGCAGCGGAGGATATGCCCCGCGATCTAGCATGGCCCTCCCCGCAGCGCAATCGGCGCCATATGCCTCCTTCTCGCTGTCTGAGCCTCATTTTTCGCTTCGGGGACCTCAGGTCCACTCTGATCATCAGTGGACCCGAGGTTCCCGCAGCGAAAATCAGTGGACCCGAGGTTCCCGCAGCGAAAAATGTTTCGCGCTGCGAAACGCGAAAAAGTCGCTTTCTGTCCTAGTGAACCACACCCCAAAACATGTGTAAATTTTTCATTGCCGCTTACTATCCTAATCTCCAGAGTCACGAACTATGAACGCGGCCTAAGTGCCTTCAGGAATTCCGTCTGATCGGACCAGCATTGAGTACCTATCGAGCGATCGATACGTATTTAATGCTATGCGATCGTTACGACCGAAGACCAACTATGAAAGCGCCCTGGTAAATCTAGCGGTCTGATCAGTAAGCATACATTCCTTCGGCCGCGTTCACAGTTCGCGACTCCGGAGATTAAGGATAGTACGCGACAATGAACTATGAACGCGGCCTTCTAACAGAATCGCCAATCTCCAGACATGCGAGTTATGTCGTGGTCTTACGTTATAGGGTCAAAAGACGCAGACTCAAAACAAAAACAAGAAAGCTGATCTAAAAACGTGAAACATACCGTTTCGATTTTCCTTGGACGCGTGACGGGATCGCTCATCACAGACTAAGCACGATCGACTGTCAGGGACCGCTGATAACTTATCATCAGAAGTAAGGGCAATCGCCAAAGAAGGAACAACCACCTCCCAAATGAGCAAGAAATTTCAACGGCGCGGCACACGCGTTCGCAGCACGCGCGCGTCGCAGCAGCGGAGCGCCAATCTCATCATGCCCTGCTTCTTATTTCTCCCTGTTTCCACTCCCTTCTTGTAATGAGCACAACATTTGGGAAATGCTTTATTTACATAGTTTAATTCTTTTCATACTCGGGATTCCTGGCATATGGCCTCACTCGCTACATCTATCGAGTTGGCAAATTTAATAAAGAATTGAAGCCCAAGGGCCACTGTGGTTCCTATTATGGAAAAAATTGACTGGAATAAACGTCATAGTTGCGTGTCGACGACATGTGAGTATCTTCGCGTATTACCCGCCACCGTCGTCAACAAGTGTTTTGTACTTTTTTCATCAATATCTCTAAAACACAACACGAACTTATGCAGTGAGTCGAATATCATCCGACCATTGTCGTCTATTTTTCACTTCTCAGTTTGTTGTTAACTATGAACGTCGACATATAGCTTCGACATAGCAGTGTCGTTGAAAAGAACGAGTTCTGTGAACGCTCTTTTTATTGATCGGTGCACGGGGCACTGGGTTGTTGACGTGGGTCCATTGTTCTTTCCGGTTCGTTTATCGTTCTGCTTCTTCTCTATTCTTAGTAGTTTCGATTTTGAGCGCCCTATGTTTGTTTACTTGTTTTCACTGTGTGATTGTTCATCTGATCAAGATCCAGTATTGATATCAGCTTGGTGGTGATATCAGTACCTTGTTACAAAACAGAACTGAAGGAAATTACATCGTACAATGGCCGATGTCAGACTTTGCGGCGATTTTGCATTTATACAATTGCAGGAGCGACGGATCGCTCCAAAGTGCGAGCGACGGGAGATTTACCCGAGCGGCGCCGTGTGTATCGGTCGTCGGCGGGGTAAATCTCCCGTCGCTCGCACTTTGGAGCGATCCGTCGCTCCTGCAATTGGTGCAAAATCGCTCCAATCGCAAAGTCTGACATCGGCCATTACTGCGGCCGGACGGTCGGACGACAGCAACGACCGCAAGTGTCGCACAGCATTTGGGTGCTATCGATCTGCGACACATGCGACACTTACGACCGCTGCTGTCGGACGACAGCAACGATCGTAAGTGTCGCAGATCAATACGCAGCTACTATTCCACACTACAGTGGGACTTTCGAAATACGATCACGCGCAGTCACGTGTTGTCTGGGTTAGCATTGGGTGACCGCGTCGCCTTCCATTTGCAACCGCGGTTTATGCGACACTTGCGGTCGTTGCTGTCGTCCGACCGACTATGCGTCCGGCCTGCCAAGTATGACCCAACCCTAACGTCGCCATATTGCTTTAGTTCCCATCCTTTTCATGATTGACTGTGAAGGATATTCACTGGTGATGACGTAGTGTAGGTGCTGCGTGCTACCTCACAAGTGGCAGTAGCCTAGCTCCGACTATTTGTGAGTTCCAAGAGCCAAAGTCAAATTCATAAAGGTCATACTCCTGAGTTTGGGCG